CATAAGGGGTCAAGGCATGATCAAGAATGTATTTACTCACGTCACATTTTTTATTAACCAGGCAAGTGCAAAGACAACATGCAATAGAAGTATTTGCTTTTGAAATTCAAATATGGAAACACCCTGCCAAATAAACACTAGTGTAACCAAATGTAAGATCAAATTCCTTTTGATAAGAGGAGAAGCTAACTTAAGGCCTATTTAGATAATCTTCTCCAAAAACATTTCTAGGAGAGAAAAAAATAGGAAGATAAAATGAACTAAATTTTTCCAAAAGCTATAATTAGCTTATGTATAAACTAATTTGTAGAAGTTTTCTTTTATTCGCTTTCACCAAAATCTTATTTTTAACTTATGTATAAGGCTGATTTTAACTTATGGTAAATTTTATTTCAATTTTACTTCCTATTTTTTTTTCCTTAGAAGTGATTATGGAGAAGTTCACTCAAGCATACCCTTAAAAGAAACTCAAGCCTAGACAATTAGTCAACCACCCCGTGCAAAGTGAAACACAATTATATCCACAAAATGCCTCTAACATAATCTACAACCATTTATTTGAGCATTACAATCCACAGAACAAATACACTCAAAAGGACAAAGCATTTGACATTTTGACTAGTCAAACAATAGTAAATCAAGATACAACGACCTGAAGGCTGAAGCCAAACCTTAGACCTTCCCTAAACAAAATCTATGGCAATGTTATTGGCTTTTGTCACACACGAAACCGGAATTAACAACACAACCAAACCATGCCAATAGCCAAACATCAAATCACAAATTCACAATCATTACGGTACTAAACCAAATCAAAAATTAAAAAAAGTGTAGTTATTACCGTGCTTCCCCATCGATCCTTGGCGTCAACTTCGGCAACTTTCTGGAGCAAAAACTCAACGACCTCAGTGAATCCCTAACACGCGGCAACATGAAGAGCAGTGTGATAATCAATATCCCTGAAATTGACACGGCGTCTCAGTCTTCTTGTTTTCAAAACTTCAACCGATCATAAATATCGAAATCGCGTTTCGCATAAACACAAAAAGAAAAATAACACAACCAAAACAGATTCAAGTAACAAACAAGAAAAATGAAATTAAGAAAAAAAATAGTTTATGAAAAGGCCTGCGTCCAAACTAGAGAGTAAAGAAAATAAAGAAGTTCCGAAATTAGGAAAAAGAAAGTAAAAGAGAAAATCAAAAAGATTATGTCTACCAGTAACTATGGAATTGGAAAGGGATCAACAAGAACGAAGCTCCATCGAGGCACGTTAACTTAGGTTAGGGTTTCGGGTCGAAGTGCGGTTTCAATGTGTTTCGGGTCGAAGTGCGGTTTCGAAGAGGGTTTCGGATCGAAGTGCGGTTTCGAAGAGGGTTTCGGGTCGGAGTACGGTTTCGGATCGGAGTACGGGTCGAAGTGCGGTTTCAATGTGTTTCGGATCAAAGTGCAGTTTCGAAGAGGGTTTCGGATTGAAGTGCGATTTCGAAGAGGGTTTCGATCGGAGTACGGTTTCGGATCGGAGTGCGATTTCGGATCGTTATCTCACTCTCTTTCGTTCTGTCTTCCTCTCACTCTGTTTCTTTCTTTTGAATATGCGGATAAATTTCTCTAACCTCTCTGTAAGGTTCTAAATAATTAGTTTCCACAGCAATAGATTGGCTAAGTACAGGCTAACATAAAATAAACCTGATAAAAAATATTTTTTATATATCTAAAAATACATGATAATACAAAAAAAAAAAAAAAACTCTAAACGTGTGGTTCAGTGGTAGGGACTAATCCACGCTTAAGTAAAATCAGAAGTTTGAATCATGCCTTGTGTATGTAGTCACGTTACTTTGAGGACGTTACTTTGAGGCTCCAATCTAGCGAGAAGATTAGTCACCGGTAGATATTTCAGGAACGAACCACAAAAAAAAAAACACAAAGTAAAAATCATATTACTTTTTCTTAAGAAACTCAAAATCAATATTAAGGCTTTTAGATAATATAATGACTGTAATTCAATTTTCTTCTATAGACCGGTCAGTGTTTTGATTTAATTTTTTTCATCATCCATTCTTTCTATTTATAATTTATAATACTTAACATAAAACAATTATTTGTTAATATCTAAAGTTGTTTGTTTTATTATATATAAGACTAAATTATATTATTTTATGTACTAATTATTTTTAGATTAAAATATTTTTAACTAAATAAATTCACTTAATTTAATAAAATATATTAATTTAAAAGACATACATAATAATTAGTTAAGAGAGAATAATATTAATTATAAAGAAAAAAGTAATATAAAGATATATATTGTAATTGATTAAGGGGGAAAAAAGTATTAATTAAAAAAAATAATATAAAAATATTTTTTTAAAATTATAAAAATAAAGAAAAAGCATGGCATGTTAAACCAAATTTATAGTCTAGTTACATTAGTGATAAAAATTTCTAGTGTTTATTAGTTTTAACAAAACGTGTATCTTTTAAATTGTTCAACATTTTTATGCTTGAATATTAACTAAATATTTTTTTATTTTCTAAAAAAATGATTTCTCAATTTGAACCCTTAAAAGGGTACTTGTTTCACAAATTAAAGGCACTCTTACCTATCAAAATACTAATCAAGAATCTTAACTAAAATTAACAAGTTATAAAAACTGTACCTAACCATATTTGAACAATCAAAAAATATATATAACAAAATTTTAACTCAAAAAATAAAAGTTAATTTTTTGTAATAGTTTTTAATTAACCAATTGTTATAAAACTAATTAATTTTGGTTATGGTTAAATTTTTTATAAGATCACCTTTAATTTAGGAATTATTTTTCTTCTCATAGTGTTAGACTTTTAGATATACCAAAGGGATCAAAACCTCAAAAAATAAAAAATAAAAAAGAAACAAGAAGAAGATTATATGTGTTTATCCTTTCCGGCATAGGAATTTTCTAACAAGAGAGATACACTAACATAAAATAATTGATAAAAATTTAACATTAACCCTTACTTTATGTGTCTCTCCTAGTGGACAAGATCCAGTGATCCACACACTTGAAAATGCCACCAAGGCATATATAATAGCTCTCGAACCGGTGATCACTAAGTCACATAACAAAGACTATAAAATACTTTTAAATTGTAAAAGATCATTATTATTAACAAAATGTGTGACACCCTTACTACCCCAACATATATATTGTAATAATAAAAACTTATAAATAAATTTTTTTATTTCGGTAAAAGGGTTCACGTGAGAATCTTAAAAATTATCCTTCAATAACCACAATAACAAAAATGAAACGCAAGAGTTTTCAAATTATTTTCAAAAATAACATTTACAATAAAAACCTATGTTCTAAAAAATCTTTTGCCCCGATGTCACAATATTAGAGCATCTCGACAATTCAACCGTTGGCATTCTAGATACCACTCGTAGCCAGATCTTCCTCACCTAAAATATCCACAAATCGCACGGTGAGAAAAGAAAACATCTATATATATAGCACATAAGAAAACACAATATATTATCTCATTATAATTTAATATTCATAAATATTTCAACATATCGTATTTCAATCAATCATGCATTGTCATCACGTCATAATTCTCAATCACACCAATCATCACAAATCTTGCACTTCACACTATGCCAAGGTCACGCTACCCATTTAACAATCTCGGGCCGTGCTCACCCCTGATATAACACTGTGCCAAGGTCACGTTATCCCTATCCTAGGGTCGTGCTCACCCCTGACATGTTAACCAAGGTCACGATACCCACGTAACAATCCAGAGTCGTGCTCACCCCTGATATAACACTGTGCCAAGGTCACGTTACCCCTAACCTAGGGTCGTGCTCACCCCTGACATGTTAACCAAGGTCACGATACTCATGTAACAATCTCGGGCCGTGCTCACCCCTGGTCATAGGTGTGAAGAACCACAACCACATCTCATTCACATTCCACACAACATCTCATAATTCAATTCCATACACACATCAGATAAGTCCAAAATAATGGGTTTCATACATCTCAAGCAATTCACATTTAAGTCATCAATTTTTATCAAACAATATAGCAATAACATTCATAAATTAATATAATAATCAATGGAATTATCAATTTAATACAATCTTAACATAAATAGTAAAACCCCCAATTGTTCCAAAACCTAGCTCACAGGCACTTTTCTACAATTTCGTTCTCTCTCCCAGATCATCATTCTTACAAATTAAATATATATTTCTAATCCTCAACACATACAGAATCTAATGGTATCATTAATTCCTCAAACAGAAATAATCCAATTTTTCCAAAACCTAACCTACAGGCACTTTTCTATAATTTCGTTCTCTCTCCTAGAGCATCATTTTTACAAACAAATCATATATTTGTTGTCCTAAATATATACAGAATCAAATAATGTCAATAATTCTTCAAACAGAAATAATTCTAAAATTACTCATAATCCTAAGGGGTTCTTCCTCTACCCAATTTCCTCATGTAAATCTATATATAAATAATTTCCTTTTCCCCCGTACCTGGATATGAAGAAGCTGAATCTAGATATGTAGAAGCTAAATCTACACTAGATTTGGTTGATCTCCCTCGCTGGGTTCCCCTCGGTCTGAAGTAGAAAGTAGAGGAAAGAAGAGAGAGCAGAAGAAAAGAAATCAGAAATGAGAGGTGTGCTTTTTGGGAGTGGCAAACAACTCTATTTATAGGCTTTTTACGCCGGAACGGCCCGTTCCAAATCCGGAACGGCCCGTTCCAGACCCTTAAACCATGTCTAAAAATCACATCCAAAACGGCCCGTTCCAAAACTAGAACGGCCCGTTCTGCTGTGCATTAATTACACCCCACGGCCATAATTTTGGGAACGGCTCGTTCT